TAAAGATACCGTGCAACTGCCCAGAATAGAGGATACAGAGGCAATCTCTCTTAAATACACTCAGCAAGTTTGGTGAGCAGCCTCTATCAGAGGAAAGTATACTATGCCATTATCCAGACTCATCTTTGCAGAAGAAGGCCATGCAAGAGCTACTTGGCTTCTTGCAAACTACTGGCCTGTTTGAACGACTCAGAGTGGATATATTGCGTGTGTGCGAGTGTGTGTCTGTGTTTTTTGTTCATATTTATTTTATATACATATCTCTTTTGACCCCCTATTCCCAAGCCCCAGTGCATGGTAGCATATCAGGTCCTACCATCTGGTTAACCTCCCTGCTTTTCTTTTTTTCTCTTGCAACTATACTTGCAGGAATTTTAAATATCTGTTGTGCACACCGAATTGGGATCCATGGGAGTGGCTGGCAAGGCTGATGAAAGCCACAACTTTTATATATTCAAGTCAAGTCAAGTCAAGTCAAGTTTATTAAATAGTTCAGTTGAGTTACATGGTTAGCGTTATTACAGCAGGAGGTCCCAAAGTTTCAGAGAAACTGACAGGGGGACCTCCTATGGCTACATGGATGGGGTAATTACAAAAAAATACAGCAATAGTATACGGTCTTGTGAGTAATAATGAATAATCTTGATTAACAATAAAAACACGATCAATACACAACATAATGGTAATACTCACTATTGAAAAATAACGAGGAAACAATCAAAAGCAAGTTAAGACAAAAAACAATATTAATGAACTCTACGTGACAAATGTAACACGTTTCATTATCAGTGTTATCAATTATACAATGGCAAATTGAAGTAGTAAAAAAGCACAGAACTGTGGAAAACTATTAACAGTTAATTACACAAATCGGATGAGTTGATTAATTCCTGAACGTAATATTTCTTACTACGCGAAGGGAAAATATGGATGTTATGCGATGATTTCAATTCGAAAGGCAATGAATTCCAAATGGCTATGCTAGTAAATAAGGTTGAGAACCTGCCGTAGTTTGTCCTTACGGCCGGCAAAAGAAGATTATAGCACTGAGAAAACCTGGTGATGTTACCATTAGTTAAGTGACGATGATCAATGCATGCAATTAAAATGTCATGCGTGATGAGTCTAAAGGCGACAACGGACATTCTATGACAAAATAATTGTCTCAATGGGAGTATGTTAAGCTGAGAAAACAACGAGCTGCAGGAGAAGTAAAATGGGCTGAAAGTCATTAATCTAACTGCTTGATTCTGAAGTCGCTGCAAACGTTCTATGTGCGTGAAATATGTGTTGGCCCAAGATGATACGCAATACGAAATATGGCTATGAATATAAGCAAAATACAAAGTACGTATGATGTGAGGCGGAAAATAAGTTCGTGTCTTGATGATAACGTGAATACCAAATGCAATCTTTTTAGCGAGTGATGCTGCATGTTTATGAAATTTTAGTTCGCTATCTAAGATGACGCCAAGAAACCGCGCTTCACTGGAGATGTTTATGACGGTATTACCAATGTGAAGGGAAGGTTGTATGTCAAGTGAAATGCGCGGGGAATGGAACAACATAAACACGGTTTTAGTAGCATTGATCTGAAGATAATTGGCCTGGCACCATAAAGTTATGTTATGTAAATCTGTGTTGAGGTCAGACTGGAGTGAAGAAACTGATTTAGATGACTGAAAGATGGTTGTGTCGTCAGCGTAAAGTATGCACTTGGTCCTTGTAAGAATTGTAGGTAGATCATTAATAAACATCAAAAATAAAAGTGGGCCTAAAATTGATCCCTGTGGAACACCGACGTTAATTAACTTGGGCGTTGAAAGATGGCCATTAACATGAACCATTTGAGACCGGTTACTGAGGTAGCTCTTAATAAAACTTAGTGGCGGACCAGACATACCAAATGATTCGAGTTTAGCAAGTAGAACGTGATGATTTATAGTGTCAAAAGCCTTCGTCAAATCGATAAACACAGATCCCACAAGTAACCCTCTATCAATAGCTTGTTTAATTTCCTCCGTTAGGGTAATTAGTGCCAGCTCAGTTGAATATCCATGACGGAATCCGAATTGTTGTGGAGATAAAAGATTAAATTTTTTCAGATAACGCATTAATCTAATGTGGAATAACTTTTCAATTACCTTACAGAAGAAAGGCAGGATACAGATTGGCCTATAATTCTGTACAAAAGTCTTATCACCCTTCTTAAAAACTGGAACTATTTTACCAGCCTTAAGGCAGCTCGGAAACACACCCGCTGAAAACAGCTTGTTAATAATTACTGCCAAAGGTGGGGATATTAAGTTTGAAACTAGCTTTACTTTAAAAGGATCAATATTATCTAAACCAGCACTTGTGGTCTTTAGTGATGTGATGACCTGAAGGACTTCATCTGCAGACGTGGAATGAAGATAAAAAGAATGAGTACACCGTGGTATATTGCGTAAATGACCTGGTGATTGCTGCGTATCCGCAGATGCGCAGAAATGCTCACTGAACGTGGCGGCCACTCTTACAGGGTCGGTATACATTTCGTCGCTTTGCTTTATTTTTATTGTGGGATCTGAGCATTTTTTCATGTTCAAGAAATCTTTAATGATTTCCCAGCAGCGTCTCGTGTTACCCGTGTTTTTTACAATGAGATTCTGGTAGTAATTGCGCTTAGCACACCTAAGTAAGGAAGATAATGTTGCTGAGTATTTGTGAAAGCGGCATTTTAATGCGAGATTATAAGGCTGCGACTTTAGTTTCTTATGAAGGTTATTCTTTTTATTAATGGACTTTAACAACGAGTTGCTTATCCATGGATTTCTAGGGGAACGATACCACTTCGTGACAGTAGTGGAAGTGGTGGATGCATCTATACCTGAAGCTATTACTTCTGAGAAAGACTCAAAAGCCTTTTCTGCGCAGTCTAGATTAGTCACCGATGTCCAGTCTACTGTGCTAATTATTTGCACAAACTTGTCCGCGTCGAATCGGCGTTTCGTAGAGATGTTACTGGCCTTGGTATTTTCGGAGCCCAGAATGAAAAATACGGGATTATGGTCTGTAATGCTATGATCTATTACACCTGCTACGTGTTCAGTGGAAATGTTGGAGATAATATGATCTATTAGGGTATTCGAACCTAGTAAATCGTTTCTAGTTGGTGCTGAGATATGCGACGTAAAGCCACAGCAGTATAAACAGTTCATATATTCTAAGCACGATGCACTATCAGGATCAATAATGTTTATATTAAAATCACCACATAAGACAACGTTTTTATTTTCCCTCACTAGGTTATTAAGAATGATGCTTAACTGATTACAAAAATCGGAATACGACGATGAAGGTGACCGATAAATGGAAGCTATAATAGTACTACGGCTATTCAATGGTATAACACTATGGTTGAATTCAAGCCAAACAGATTCACATAAAATATTATTAAAGATTATGTCACTACGGCGTGTGTAGGTTAAGGATGAGTTGACAAGTATGGCACTACCGCCACCACGACAGAGCTCCCGATTACAGTATTCGGAATAATAACCTGGCAATCCGTACAAGTTATCCTCATTACCAGACAACCAAGTTTCAGATAAACATATGACAGAGAATGAATGTTTAAGCAAGGAAATCAACGCAACAAGGTCATCCTGGTGCTTTCTAAGACTGCAAATGTTTAAGTGAAGTAGTGATAGGGATGGTGACTTCTCGAGTAGCAATTCTGATGTTTGCTGGCACGAGAACGCAGCCATGTTGATCTAAGGTCAGTTTAAAATGGGGACTGATAGGATAACTAGGAGAATACTCGGAGATCTTCTGCGCATGCAATTCGAAACACGCGACTGTCATCCGCCTTTCTGGCTTTGATTGTACAATTGTCAGTCCAGAGATGCTTCCACTGATTGGCCTTCTTAAGCGCAAGTGCCTGTGCAAAGAGGCGCTTTCATTCTGGTGTGAGATGGTCATTCACATACACAGGTTTAGGGCCTGTGCTCTGAGAAAACCCTATATCTGTGGTAGACAAGCGTGCCTTTCTTGCCTTTTTAGCGAATTCAGCCTTCTTGTTTCTCGAACAGAATCGCGCAATAATGTTGCTTCCATTCTTTGCGGGCACCCGATGCGCGGCGTCTATGTCTGTATCGGCAATTGGACAACCAATCTTCTCACCGATAACCTGGACGACTGCCAAGCAGTCTTCGCCCTTTGTCTCAGGGATTCCCTTCAGTTCAACATTATTAAGTCGCGAGTATTGTTCGAGATCACACATTTGTTTACTTAGCTTCTTATTCTCATCCCTCAGGACCTTGTTTTCTTTAGTTAGTGCCTCATTGTCATTCTTTACACGTTCACAGAGGTCATTGAACATCACAAGGCTTGTTTTCATCTCTGCGACCTCCTGCCGAAGAGCCTGTATTTCCTTTGCTAGTTCCGCGCAAGTCGGCATTCTCAAGATAAGTAATGAAGAAAAGTATACTCAAAATACGGAACACAAGACACAAAATAAAGACACAAACACACAAGACACAAGACACAAAATAAAAAAATAAACTATATAAAATATATTGAGGGCAGCAGTGGAAGCGAGAAAAAAGGCAAAACAGAAAGGAGTGCACCGAGAAGCAACGAACCTGGACGGAGCGAACACAAGGGTCAATGCTTGTACACAGCCGCAACCACTGCTGCCAAAATGACAAGCAATGGCAAACGATGGTCTATTTGTAGGGCTCCTTGTCCGGTAGATGGCGAACGTAGCGGCTGAAGTTCAGTGACGTAGCTGCACGTGCCGAGGATACAGCAGGAGCAGCTAAGCAGTGCTGTCCAGTAAGCCGACTGGACAGCACTGCTTCCAACTTTCCTCTAGCCCTAACCCTTCGAGGGACTGCCTGATCGATCCCCATCACAATCATCACAGTTGACTTGCTGCCTGCATTTATCTTTAAAAAAAAAGAACGAAAGAATGTCAGATAAGTTACGTGACACGTGACTTTTTTTGTTTGTTTCAGGGTAACAGAACTGTCGAACCCCTTTTTCACCCTGCAGAGGCGAAAAGGTCACGGCACCAAAGGCCTATCGTCGGTCCTAGTAGGAACACTCGATTCGGTATTTGACAGCAAGGTTAGTGGTGGTTCTCGTGTATGACTTAAACTGAACTGAACTGAACATGGAACTGAAAACTTCACCTATGCATCATCCTGTGACATGCCAGATTCCATCCCAGCTTTTCAAGTAGGCACGACAAGTATGGTTCGGCCCACACAGTGTCCATTTTCAATATGCTCTTCAATAAAGTCGGCATGTCGTCGTTGCCATCAACCTACACAAAAACTTGTTCTAGTGCAGCATTCCAACAACAGTGACGAAGACGCCTGCTTTGGTGACAGACATTGCTAACATCACTAACATTGGTTTTAGGTGAGGCACATGCATGCTTCACCAATAGCGTTCAGTATATCTGGCAAGAATCAAATTCATGATGTACATTACAGAATATTGAACTTCGAAATAATTAAACTGGCAAGTATGCATGCGCTATCTGACATTGTTTTGGTCATTGCCTGTAATCCGTTACCTGCACTCAGCACAAGCAAATGTACCATGTTCCTGGAGGATGTAAATAAAGTAATAGAAGAAATTAGGGCTATGTAACATTAATACTTTCATCTCTGCCATATTCAGTTTCATATCAGCCGAATTTCAATTTGAGCATGTAGATCAGAGCCCACATTATCTCTAGAAACCAGGTTCGTCGCGACATGATGTAATTACCTCAAGCAGTCACAGATACGAGTCATTGCACTAAAAAATTTGATGTCTCAGTTGAATTTGTGCATACTGTACATCTTGCGATTTTACGGATGTGAGCGAATGTTTCCTTGGCATGCATTTTGGCCACAACAAAAGCAATATATTCGTGCTCTGCGAAGTTTATGACCATGCTGTACTGGTGGGTTGGTCAAGGTTGCCATTCAGGAGTGCACATATTTCTTATCGTTACTACTTATTATTATTATTACTTATTATTAATGTAACCGGCAACTTTTATGTGGAATTAAGTCATTTTACTTATTTAAAAATACTGCAGGCCTTTTTTAGGCCCACACAGCTGTAGAAGCATAGTGTAATAGATGAGGGTTATAGTGTAAGGGCACACTGTCATCAATACAGAGGTTACAATCATAGGCAGCAAAGGCTGTACAGTAATCAATCAATTAATCAATCAATCAGTGTTTATTCAATGAACTGAATACAAAAGTGGTTACAGAATATTTGGAGCATTAGCCTGTGTGGCTAGTTACTGGTCCAATCTAATAAATGAATATTTTTTACATGTCTGGAGCAGAGGAGCACATGATATGATTATGAATCGTTATACAATTTGAATGATTGAGTAGCTTCAAAGGTACATTATATATAATGAAATTCACATGACAATAAATACGAAATTGTTGCTAAGTCCTAAGTACTAGAGTAATAAAGAATAACTAATGGCATTCATTGTGTAAATAGTACAAAGGTGGGGCATCCGAATGAAATGGGCAGAATTTTTGCATAAGGCTGAGTTGAAGAATAATTATCAGTCGAACTTGAATCAGAACAAAGAAGAAAAAACAACAAGAATCAGTTGCACGCTGCAGATGCACACAGTATAGGCACCCAAGGTTTCACCGTAAAAGATTCCTGGACCTTCTAGTTACGTTGATTGTCCTAAGTACTAAAGTAATGAAGAATAGCTAATGGCATTCATTGCGTAAATAGTACAAAGGTGGGGCATCCGAATGAAATGGGCAGAATTTTTGCATAAGACTGAGTTGAAGAATAATTAGCAGTCGAACATGAATCAGAACAAAGAAGAAAAAAAAAAAAAACAAGAATCAGTTGCACGCTGAACACGCTGAAGATGCACACAGTATAGGCACCCTAGGTTTCACCATAAAAGATTTCCAGGACCTTCTAGTTACGTTGATTGTATGTAGTCATGTTTTCATTCTTGCAGCCTGCGCCCTACAGAATTCTTCATTCAACTCCCCTCTCTGAAGTCAGCTACGGTGAGTGCAACTTTTGCATCAATTTTCTGACATTCGTCATGACATAGAGACGACAACTTGTGACACGTTACTTTGCGTTCATGTACTAGTCATCTGCATTGCACTGAAATGGGTTGGCATTTGTGTGGCCTCGGTATTTTTGTGTGATAATTTTTGAAAAATGTATGGTGGGATTATTGGTTAAACTTATTTGGACATTCTCGCCTGGAGCAAGGAGACCTCCCTCTTAGGGTAAAAGCGAAACTTGCATGGCTACACCGTTTCGCTCAAAAAACATTTATTCTTCCTCCTCCATCTCGCCGGCTTCTAGGGAACTATGGTGGTATTTGACACAACCCAGTTGCAGGTGTGCACCCGCAGAATGCTCAGTTGCTGGACCATACTTAGGTCTGCTGATGATCCAGCACTCGTGCAGGAGCATCAGTGTTTGCAGTGAAGCTTCATTGGTTGGCAACTGTGCCGGTTTTTGGCCGTGGTTATTCTCGACCGATCGAGGTTTCGTACGACTCTCAACATCGCGCTATCACTTGTCGTTATCCTGCTGTGATTTCACTGCAAAAATTACACTTTCTGGCAGTCCAAATAAGACAGACGTTGAGATGGAGACAGAAGCTCGAAGAGGGGAAAAAAACCTTGCAACACGCAGCATCGCTGGAGCCAACATTTCGACAAGCAGTCTAGTTTTCTTCCGGGTGGTGACTTATCGAAGCACTGGCTTCAGTGGTGCCCCATATGCAAAAATTTTTCGTCGCTTTCTGGCAGGTCGCCTCTGTGACATCACTGAGGAGACTGTACTTGAGTTGTGTCAGTACAGAAGCCAGGGATTCCAACCCGTTCTTCTGTTTTCAGTTGTAGCCACCTCGCTGTCACGTGAGGAGATCTTCCAGAACTGGACCTGGATTGAGCAGAATCTTCTCGAGACACTCAGTGAGTCTACAGTGCTGTATTGTTGTTTGTGTTTACGTTGTTTTGAAAGATGACGACGTGTGCATTGATCACAGGTTACACTGCCGTCTAATACTGGCGCAAAGTGGCGAGATTAGTGACACATTGTGCAGGCATTTTCAATATGTGGGTTGTGTGCTTTCCCATTGAAAGTGCACATGCCAAGCACTTGTTATTCGTCGGGCAAAGTCATTCACGAACAATATCTTTCATGTGTACATGTGGATAATTTTCTTCATATTGTCATGCTGTCTGAGTTACACGGTCTATGTGCAAGTCCAGCATTTTGACAAAATATACGGCAAGTTCAGTCGTGGATGGTGCATCGCCATTTACGTGCTCATCTTTATGCCACATTTCTGTAAATGTGATTGTACATATAATGCCGATGTGATGTCAGTGTTATGTATCTTAAATCTGTCTTCAGCAGAATGATTCTCATCCCTGTGGCATGCTTTCAGGAATAAGCATTATTAGAAACTGTCTGCATACTTGATGTTTCAAGTTTCTAAACAGAATGATTGAACACTCGCACTCATTGGAAAAAAAAAAAATTGGGAAACACACTAACCGCTGATCCGAAACAGCAAGAAAGCTCTTTCGGATACTGGCATCTGTCACGATAGTCATTTGAATAAATTGTGGCAGCAGACAATAGCTAAGCAGAGCTGGCACCCTTTTATCTGGGCTCTTCCATCGGCCATTGCTAGAGGGGGGGGGGCACATGACTTTAAAAAGAAGTGTCCATCGTTACCGCCAGTTCTTAAGCTCTGTTTAATCAGCATTTTCACAAACGGACGATCTGCTTAACGGACTTTTAGCGAACACAATTCTTGGCCCTTGGCATATGAGGAAGTGTTGACTCACTGCCGCATTGCAGGGAACTTTGACTCTGAAGATGAGGCAACGGAGTTTGTGTGCTGCAAGATTCGCAGCCTGGTGGCACAGCGGGAGGTTTCCCTGTTGGAGGTGGACCAGGACAATGCCCAGTTTCGGGTCAACGCGAGCCGCTTTGCCTCCATCTTCAACCTGCCCCCGCAGGAGAAGCTAGTCAATTGTGAGTGCACATGCCCCTCCCCTTTCCTGGCACCCATACATCTGAAAGCTGCATTTTTAGGCTGTCTACAAGGATCATGTTCTACAGATAGTAGTCGGAGGGATTAGTGGCTATGGCATTGTGCAGGGGCACTTGCTGTGCCGTACACTTGCTTTTGTCCTAAAAATGTTCTTGATGCCCACTTCGTTCCTGACAGCACATGGATGTAGCGATGACGACCTGCTTTCATTAGTGAAGTGGTGTTGTACAAAGAGGCAGCCTAAACTTTGGTGCTGTGCTTTTAAAAAAGTTCTCGCTTATTAAAAGTGTGCAGTATGCTGACAACTGCACCAGGCCACATGCATTACCAAGCAGTTAACTGAAGTTGCTTATCCTAAAGGGATGTTAGCTAATATGTCGTACTGGCGCGTTTTTTGCGTTGCCGCCATCCCACCTCTGTGCAACTCCGGTGCTTATCAGTTAAGACATCACTGCACTGCGCTGTGATAGTAGCACTTTTTGATTTTTGGTCTGCTTCTCCCTATACCATTTAAGCATTGCGGCAAAGCTCGCGTTTTGACATTGCTGTCGTGGCAAGAAAGCGCCGATTCAAGCCCATGAAATGGTAGACATAGCAGAGATGGGGCTTTAAGTAATGCCGTTTCGGACCTGAAATATGAGTAGATAGTCTAAAAAACTGGGCACCGAATAGTTTCGGCGTCCGAAATTTCAGACCTTCCTGTGCATTGCCATGTGTGGGGCTTGCGACTGTGCCACAAAAGCGTCTTGAGTTTTGAAGCTTGGCTGAAAACTTTGGCGTCTAGAATATTTACGTGCCCAGCATGCGCGTTGCTGGTTGCGCACAGGCGCGACTACTAGGCGTCACCAAAGCTCTTCACGTGCACTGCAGCGGCCAAAGTCAACCCAGCCAATTTCAGAACTCACTAGTTCAGTGAATTTATCTGCTTGGGGGTCATGCGTCAAATACGACGACTCTTTTTGTGCTTGGCATGACGCTTTAGGACATTGCTTACTCGTGGACTGATACAATGACCGCCCAGTATTTGAAAATGTTTACTCTGAAACGGTCAATCAGAAGATCTAAAACACTCTACACAGCTTCTGATGGTATTAGGTTGAAGTTTAATCAGTGTATGGTGGATGAACAGAATGAATAAGCTGTATGTGTTTTCTTCTATTGCTATTGATAAAACACAGAGGAGCCATCACAGAAGCTAATCGATGATATTAATATCACCTTTAGGGATTTTATAACAAGGTGCTATGGTTCTATATTTCACCATTACTTTTCTCTACTAGGTGAGGTTAGCCATGAGGGGATATTTTCAATCCTGAGCTTTTTATATTGTTAATATGCTTGAATAGCATGAATCAAATTGTGCTTTTATTGGTTGTCTTTCACGGACGGAGTACACGTCTTAAAATTGCTGCTAGCAACATGTACTCCAAAAGCCAGTTTTGTTGCTCCAAAGTGCATTTCTGCCTGCTCCAGAACCCACTCCAAAACAACCTAAGCCAATAGCATCACTGTAGGTGGTTCTTAAAGCTAGCTGTGAGGTACTGAAAAATTCCGTTCGGTGTGAGGTACTGAAAAATTCCGTTCGGTGACATGCTAAACTTGTGTCATGCATGTAAGCTGATCTATAGTTAGAGTTAGTTGTTTTTTGTATATTTTTCAGTCTCTTCTTACAACGAAATAAAATGCAGTTAAACCTGCAGCAATGCCAGAATTTGTGCTGTAATATAATGTTGGTTACCACTGTAGCCCTGGTTACGAATGTACTTGCAAGAGTGAAATTTTGTTGCAGTTGGTTTTTTTCTTAGTTTTTAATCAAGCATAGTGACAACCGCTCATCTTTCGCACAGACTATTCATGCAGCTTCTGGAAGGGGCGCCTTCCCCAGCAGGGCTGGCTCTACCTGAGCATGCAGCACCTGGCCTTTCATTCGTTCCTGTTTGGGCAAACCACCCGAGTGCTGCTAAGGTGGACCGACATCACGGTGAACCATCGTTTTTACTTGCACAGTTCTGTGATATCTCGCTGCCTAAAGTGTCACAATGCTAAGCTGGAGGGTGCATGATTCATTCCCTGCTGCGGCAGCTACAGTTTGAAAGGAGTGCAACAACAACAACAACAAAAAAACTATGTGTTTAAGTTCACCTGCATGTTGAACAACCCTAGCCAAATTAAATTAGTGAACTCCCTTTAAGACGAACTCGAAGGGACCATGAAAAATTGTTCGTCTTATCAGCTGTTCGTTTTATCAGAAGCACCCTCGAAAAAAGAATTGGCTACATACCTAGGTGCATGCAAATATCTTAGTTCAAAACAAAGTATCAAGTACACTTACAGTGAATGAAAAAGACACAAAAATAATTTGAGGGAGTAACCTGATAGGCAACTGCGTTCAAGTGCTCTTGCTCGGCTTGATCCAGTCCATAATGGACGTCTGTCGCTGTTGTGCACATCGGCGAGCAGCCACAAATGACGCCATATCTCCTAGCGATCTAAAAAACACTTCAGTTCCTTCATGCTGCTCAAAATAGTTCCTTAACGAACTAATGTAGAGATCTGCAGTATCATTTGCTACTGGCGCAGGCCCCATGCTGGCATCTTCGTCATCCTCCGACGTTACCTCCGAAGGAACCTCTAGAACCTCATCAATCAATGTGTTCAATGTGTCCTCCTTGCAGGTTGGCACATCTTCATCGACAGTGACATAACTGCCTATGTCCACGACGAGTCCTTTATTGCCTAGCGAATCAACGAGGCTCACCTCTTCCTCGTCGTCTTCGCAACTGTCCTGCGCCGAGCACTCGGGCACCACAAAACGAGCATGACGAAATGAATTCATAGTCATGTCAGTCACCTGGCTCCAGGCATTTGTGAGGAGGTGAAGTGCTGTCAGCAGGTCCACTGTGTACTGTTTGTCGCCCTCCATGCACAGTAACATTCTCTGCAGAAGAGATCGGCGATAGTGCCTTTTCAGGCTGCTGATCACCCCCTGGTCCATTGGCTGGAGCTTGGCTGTGGTGTTAGTGGGCAAAAACTCCAAGCGAATGGCCTGAAGGTCGGCGACGTGCCCGTGCCCAGGGCAGTTGTCCAACAGGAATATGACGCGTCTCTCTTCTTTCTGGAAACGGCGATCCATGTCTCGCAGCCACTCCTCGGAAATCGACTGAGTCATCCAGGATTTTGAGTTGGCCGTGTAGGTCACCGGCAGCGTTTTAGCGTGCTTGAAGCAGCGCGTCGATCTTGATTTGCCGATGACCAACAGTTTCAGCTTGTCGCTTCCTGACATGTTTGCGCCAACGAGTACGGTAACCCTCACCTTGCTGTGCTTTCCCCTTGTGCAGTCATCGCCAGCGAAAGCGAGCGTTTTCTGTGGAAGCAGCTGGTAAAAGAGGGCTGTCTCGTCGACGTTGTAGACGTCGCCGGGGTCATAATCCTGAAGGATCTCCTTCAGCTTGGTCAGCCTCCAATCGTTGCAGGTCACTTCGTCAACGGCGGCGGCCTCACCGGCAATAGATCGGAACACAAGTCCGTGTCTTTTTCTGAAGCGATCGAGCCATCCGTCGCTGCAGGCAAACTCAATGTTCATTCGTAAGGCAATTTCCTCCGCTTTTGCCTTCAAAACTACGCCGTTCACAGGCAGATTCATGCTACGAGCATGTTGGATCCATGCGAGCAGAGCATCCTCCAAGCCCTTGTGCGCAGCCGTCCGCATCTTCTTTCGCTTCGGTTCGAAGTCTGCATGTGGAGAGAGCTGTGGAGAGAGCTGTGGCTGTACGACGCGAGCTCACATGTTCCCGCTGAGAAACGGCATTGGTCATGAGAGCTGCTCTCTTCGCGAATAGGGAGTCTCGGTCGTCATTTTGTTTTTTTACTTTTCCCCCTGCTTGCTTCTTCGCGGCCGATAGCCGATCTCAAAACTCTCTCGCTCTCTCGTTTTCTTCTTTTTTGCTTTGCCGCTCGCTCTGCGGGTCGAAGTGCGGGTGATGCCGCGGGCCATTCTTTTGTCGCTGCCTCCCTCCCTCCGCCGTGGCGCGAATTCGCTTCGCGCCGTTGCTGCTTTTGTATTTTCTTTCCTCCGGCCACGGGAATGCCCCTCCAAGATTGCCATAATTTCTCTGTAGAATCGCCTTGGTCTCCCGGTCTCCGCGAAAGTGTTCGTCTTAACAGAAGAGCAGGTTCAAGGCTGTTCGTCTTAAGCGGATTTTTTTTTTGCATTGGGTCTATGGAAAACCAAACAAACGTTCTCATGTTGTTCGGCATAAGCGAGAATTTGTCTTAAACGAGTTCATCTTAACGGGAGTTCACTTAATGTAAAGTCCACCTCTCCTGCATGGCCCATAATAACGCCTTAGATTTGCCACATTAATGCCTTGGGCTTCATTAATTGGTGCTTATTGAGTGGAACTGGCCCCTGTACTTATTAGGGCATAGGTTGTGATTGTTCTTTGGCCGAGTTAACAGAAATCAGGCTATATTTAGGTAGATGGCAAAGGACTTGAGGTGTCTCAAGTTAATTCGAGGCCTCCACTGTGACATGCCTCATTATCACATCGTCGTTTTGGTGTGTGGAACCCCGTATTATATTATTATTGCGACAAACCTCGGTTAACTGGAGACAACTTCAGTTACTGTCAACAGCATTTGGCACCTTATTAAAGAAAAAATTTGTCCTTGGTTTATGGTTGTGAAACAGCCAACATGATACTGAGCTTCATGTGTTGGAATATAAAGATTTAGCTTCTTTTCATGAGTATAATGGTGAATAAATTATATATATTTTTAATTAATTCCTTCCACTTTGCATCTGTAGTTCCCTAGAGAGGGTATTGTTTCAGGTGCTTTGATGACACTTTGCATAAGTGATGGTTGGTATTGCAACAACGAGCAAAGTCATCTTGTTATCTGTGTGAAAGGCAAGACAGTCTATTGCTTGATACATTTGCTATAACTGTGTTTCGTTCTCCAAAAAGCGGCAGGAAGAGAAATATGAAAGCTTGTGATGAACAAAATTCATAAATAGGAGTCTTGTGCTCGAGCCAACATTTCAGCTTGAAGGATAAAACGAACTGTTCTAGCCTTGAAGACAAGCCCACTTGTTGAAAAGTCTGCTTGAATTGTTCTAGCCTTGAAGAAGACAAGTTCGCTTGTTGAAACGTCAGCTTGACCACTGTTCTAGCCTTGAAGAGAACAAGTTCACTTGTCGAAACATCGACTCAAGCATTGTTCTAGCCTTGGAGAAGACAAGTCCACCTGTCAAAACATCGGCTCGAGCACACAACTCCTGTTTATAAATTTTTTCATCAAGCTTGGCATTGAGGTTCTGAGGCATGTTTTTTGCCGGACTCTCTCAGCTTCTCTGTTGTTGGTATAGAATGGTTTACATCGATCAAAATAGTAAAATGCTGGGCCAGTTGGTGCAACATAATGTGGAAGTACATGAGTGCATAAGGTAGAGTAAAGACTTTGGTGTTCAACCTCAGTTTGGAGCATTCACAGTTAGTGGGATAACTGCATTGGGCTTTCCATCTAATGGTATGTCACTACAGATTGCAGCAACTGAGATTCTTCATAACTGAGGTTAGTGTGCCTGCATAGCTATGGCAACAAAAACAAAGAGCTAATTTCACGGGAATTTCAGTGGTTGGGTTGGTAGTGGTGTGCTTGCTTGTGAGCGAAAAAGAAGCGTTGGCCTTGAGCTAAACTTCCAGGTAGACGCAGATAAGAGAGCGTTGGCACTTCGGCTTTCTTTGTGGCACACTTTAGGCCTCCGCCGAGAATCGAAGGCAAGCTTGTGATTCGGAACGTGATAGTGTGTGTGTGTGTGTTGATGTGTGTGTGTATAAATATCGCTATCGCCTTCATCTGCCAAACGTGAAGCGAGAATGTCCCCTTATTGAACATGAGAGCTGATTTGACATACCGTTTTTGCCAATGTCTGTGGCTGATTCTCGGCATGTCTTTGTTCCATAATCGTCTAGACCCTGGAGAGGAGCAGCAACTTTCTGTTTCCCGAGACCATCATGGTTGCCAGCAGACAGAAGAAGGTGAACAGATGTCATTGCTTCTTCCCAACTCCTTATTAAAATGCCATGGCAAGTACCGGAAGGTCCAATGCAGCCAGTTGAAAATGACTTGCAGTGTTCAGATGTGCCCAAAAGTTTGTGAATTCGCATTCATGAATTCCTGTAGGATTCCGTGGCACATTGCTGCAAAATTGCTTGTGTTATGTTTATGTGTAGCTATTAATAAAGTGTTAATTATGTAATTTACTTAACTGGCAAAAAGGAGTGCCACACCTACTGACATAGTTCATGTTCATTTTGCTAAGCTGACAAGCAGTGAAGGTAAGAACTGCTTGTCACCTAAGTAATATTTCTGAGAAACTTGTTCTGGCCGAAATGGATTACCCACATTTTACATTGCTAAACTTGTTCTGGCCAAAATGGATTACCCACATTTTACATTGCTTTTTTGCTTAGTAAATTTATATTTGGAATCCATGATATAATGCTAACTCATTTTTGCAGTCCGATAAATGCACAAATAAATAAATCTAGAGATACAGTGGGGAGTCGCTAATTTGCTTCAGTATGACACATTAAGACCTTTTTTTCTTTTCCAGCACTATTTTTCCATGTTCACCAACATCGTAGAGACGTTTGCACTCATGGAACAGTTGGCTAACCTGGCCATGAGACAGTAAGTTTATCTTTTCATGTTCTGAACAGCTTCATTTCATTGTTACTGTCCAGCTACAGTCTAATCTCATTAGTTCGAACATGCTTGATTCGAACTTCCGGTTAATTCGAAGCTCACGATGTGGCCCCGTCAAAGCTATGTGTATTCCAATGGGCGAAAACGCTTGATAATTCGAACGCGCAAGCACTTGCGATGGGTAATTCGAACATACCGCACTCAGAGAATGCTCTCAGCACCCCGCCCAATCCCGCGGTGGCACCTGCGACACCTCAACGCTGCGCGGGAAGGAAAGGAAAAAGAAAGAAAAGGCTGTGGTGGAATGTTTGCTCTCTCTCAAATGCCAATCTGCGACGCGCCTGTGTCACTGCTTCTTTTTTTTTTTTCGTCCCAGCCATGTAAAGACCCTTCTCCTTCCAACGTCGTGCGCGAAGAGAGAGAGGAAAAAAAAAAGAACGCTGTTGCGGGGTTAAATGAATGTGTGGTTGAAAGAAAGGAAAAAGGCACTATCTTCTGCAGCCCTTGCAGGAGCACGGCTCTGCGCCTTGGGGGGGGGGTCTCTCATGCGCTGGTGCCACACTTCCCCCTTTCCCGTCCCTGCCATGTAAACCTTCTCCTTTCAAGAACTCGCGCGAAGAGAGCAAAAAAAAAAAAAAAAATGGTGTCATGGAGCATTGCTCTCATCTCAAATGCCGATCTGCCTCTCTCCGCGTGGAGACTCTCCTCGCTTCTCGTCACGTGCTGGCCATGCTGCAGCTATGCTACGCAGTCGTGTCGTCGTCGTTAAAGAGTGTCAGCGCTGGACATTTCCGCGCGCAACTTCTCTTGCCAGGAGAATGCCGAAGCCGAAGTAGAAATGCTTTGCAAGCTGCATACGAAATTGATTGACTCGCTGCAAGGCAAACGTGTGCAGACGCGCATCACCCATTACTTCACTTAATAACAAATGTCCTGTGTTTTGTGAATAAATGTAAAGTCTTCTGAAACTTCCCCCTCGTGTGTTAGCTCAATGCACATGCGCCACTGCATGGAGAGCCCTTTGTTTATTTAGCTTTCATTAATTAGAACTTCTTTTAATTCGAACAAATTTTTGGGTTCCTTCGAGTTCGAATGATTGAGATTCGACTGTATTTAGAATCTCCCACTGTTGTAAAGTGTGAAAAAGGGATAGGAGTCATTATGAAATGGCTATATAAGTGTAGAATTCAAAATCTGACATAAATATGGGTTTGTCAACAGGGTCACATGTCACATTTTAATAATCGGTATTGCATAGTCAAGGTCACACTGGTGTCACGTGTTTACACTCACAGTGGTCACGCTGCCAAAGTCCACAAAGTGAAAGGCAGGTTCATGAAAGGAGGATGTTGACATTCATTTGTTTTCTGGCACAAGACCACTAAATATATCTCAGGATGCTGTAGCGACTGCCTTAAAAAGGTGCTGGGTTTGAATCCCATGTCCCGACAAATATTTTGTCAGCTGTCAAGCTTTCCGTCTAAAAAACTAGGTGTGGCTACCTCCCTTACACCGGAGTGTAATGGAGGCAGCCACACCAGTTTCAAGTAATTAATTTACAAAATGACTGACAAGTAATTATGAGTAATTACTGACGAGTAATACTTACAAGTAATTGCTAATTAATTATTTACCAAATGACCAGTATAAAAACATTTTGCTCATCATTTTCGTCCTTCAAGGACCCATGTCGCCTTAAAGATCCCTAGACAGGTGCACCATTTTGATTATTTAGTGGCATTACTCGGCATGTGAAAATGTGAGTGCGGATTTGTTAGAGGTATCTTTTTCGCTCAAAGGTTTAACACTACGAACACAACTTTACACCCGGCAACTGGGTTTGGCCACTACGTTCATTCCTAAAGTTATTTGAGCGTTAACTTTCATATTGCTCGTGACTTTACATGCCGTTCATGCCATCTGCAGGCTCATCTCGGAAGAGACGTTCGAAGCGGACCAGCAGCTTTCCAGGAAACTCAGCTGCAATGCCCCAAAGAAGCTTCCACTGCTCAAGAGAGACCTGGACGCAAGGGCACAGAGCGAGACTTATAGGTGAGAGCTTGTTTTGTTTGTTCTCTAGGTTGTTATTAGCATATTGTGGTGTAGTGGCCTGCCTACGCCGGGAACACAGCCAGAATGGAACATCTCTATGCTGGCAGACTGAAAACGGTGTTGTAGACGTCAGGGTTAAATAACTAGCAAGGCTGCATGCACTATGCAAATATAATTGCAGCTGCTACTTACCATGCCGTAAGATTGGTTAAACATTCATCGTTATCGAGCCTTTTCTGCCAGTATGAGCGAAAGAGAGAATGTTTTTCTGAGGGCCTCATTTATATGTTAGACACAACCAAGTGAATTGAATTAACAGTTAGACCACGGTAAGCATAGAGGATGTTAAATGTTGTATCTAACGGCAGTGTGCTAATCGTGACTCAAGTTGATAGGAGTTGAAACGGACAAAACATTGACCTTTTTGTCTGTTCGATCTGACCCCACGGCATTCGATTTACGTGTTCAGCACTCTATTGATTTAGCTACGCTGAAAGGCTTTTTTGCGTCCACTTCATTCGGTATTTCTGTGTATGTAATTTCTGGAAGTGTTAGCCAGCACCGCTTGTAGCCTAAATGGTGAGTATGGTCGTACTTGTTGTTTTTTCCGTCGGCTTGGCTAAGCTTGGTCTTCAAATGCCTTTCCTGCCTCCGAGATTGGAGGCAGGAAAGGCATTTTAATTTTAAGTTTCGGAGGCCGTGTTTGCTTTCTAAAGACGCGGTGATGGATGCCGTTTTTTCGTCTTCGGTCAGCGCTATCGTCATCACATCGCACGGGGAGGAGGCGAAAGAAGGATTCTTTCATTGTCGTTGCAGCTTTTTTCAGTCGCCATTCTGCACGTGTTGTGTCGCGTAGCGTCGAGACGTTGTGTGCTTCGCAGCGGCTATCTGCGGCATTGAATTTTGTGTTCTCGGTGCCATGGCTCCGCTATCTGTGCCATCGCGGGAGCCAGGTGGTGTGAAGAAGCGTGAGAAGTATACGACCCTGACGATGGAGAAGAAAGCTGCCATAATCAAGCTAGGTGACAACGACGACCGCCCGCAGCCGTCGGAGATCGCCAACGCGGTGACAATTTCGTCGAGCGTTTACAGCGACGATGTCACCTTGGCGCAAATACGGGCAAACCAAATTGCCTCCAAGCGTAGTTTGAGGCAAGGCAGCATCAAGGACTTTTTTAAACCTGCCTGATGCAATAAACTTCAGATTTTTGGCAAAAACGAATTTTTCGGACTGTTCGATTTTTTGGACTTTTTTTCGGTCCCCGCCAGGTCCGAAAAATCGGTCGGCGACTGTATTTGTCTATTTGGTTTCGTTTCCGCGATCGCTGCCGCAGGTGGCGCCAGTGTTGTTTATGTGTATAAGCATGAGCAAGTTGGAATAAAGGGGCTTTTGTTCCGATGGGCACTCAAGTTGTCAAGTCGTTCATTCATCGGCGGCGCACGCTGCCACTACATTGGCGACGAGGGTGCTCGTTTAGGAGCGGGTGTGATTTTCGTCATTTTCGCCGACTGTTTCCCGCGCCATGAGTGTCTCAGGACTGGCACCACCGCCCCCGTTCCTGCCCACGCCTGGCTGCCCTGCTCTTGCCTGACTGCCTTGCTCTTGCCTGACTGCCTTGCTCTTGCCTGGCCGCAATGGATCTGCATCTTCGAGAATTTTCTGCTCGCATCTGGTGTTTTGGACTGTGCGCCGGACCATCGCGAGGCTCTCTTAATCCACAGCCTCGGCGTGGAAGGCGAGCGCATATTTCACACACTACCGCTTCAATCTTCGGCCAATACAAAGTCCGATGAGCCAACTACTGATACGGATTCGAGAGCTGTCAAGGACACTTCTCAGACACAGCATGAAGTGTCGTCGTACGATACCGCTGTCCCAGTGCTGCATGCGCACTTCCCGACAACCAATGTTGTGGTCGAACGGCACCGGTTCGATAGGCACGTGCAGCAAGTCGGGGAAGCAATCAATGAGTACATTATCACGTTACGTGAGCTTTCTGCCACGTGCTCTTTTCCTTCTCAGGAAGACTCCTTGCGTGACCAGTTCGTTGCGGGCGTATTATCTCAAAACTTGCGCGAGCGATGCTGCTTGAAGGGTCTTCTCTTTCGTTCGCTCGAGCTGTACTAATAGCGACGCAGTTTGAGCAGGCAAGCAATGATTGCAAAGGATTTTAGCTACTGCAAATTACAGAGCATAAATACTCGTGGAAACACCCCTCCTCCCGCATCTTCTTCCGGCGACCCCTCGAAGCGGTCGCGCAGCCAACAAGGCCAGTGTTACCGCTGCGGTTCACCTTGGCACAACGCAGCTTCATTCCGCTGCCCCACCAAAAACAAGCGGTGTCATGGTTGCGGTATTATGTGTCATTTTCGCTCTGTCTGCAACAGAAATGACGCTTCTGTTCGTGAACTAGACGACGAAAGTTCGATAACTGAAAAAGTATTGAGCATTCCTGCCGTGACGACATCCGCTCGTCCCGCAATCTACATATCAGTAGCAGTTGGTGAAACGAAGTTAACTTTCCTTATGGATTCAAGGTCATCAGTATCGATTTTGACGCATGACCTATTTAGGCAACATGTTGAAGGTCAGCAGCTTTCAGCTGCTCGAATTAAACTACTGAACTATTTGAAGAAACCCATTCCAGTGTGCGGTTGCTTCTTTGCTGATGTCACGTACAATAACTGCACAACAATGCTTCTTTTTTATGTTGTTGAACAAAGCACCTTGCTTTTGGGTATTGAGGCAATTAGGGCACTCAGTCTGCAGATTTATGGGTCGTCACTACAGTGCCTTGAAACGACAGCGGTGCGTACTAGCGCTCGAACACAGCACACCGCAGTCAAGAAAGAGGCAGAGGAGTCCAGTCACCTTCCTTCAGAATTAGTCGAAGAGTTCGGTGCTATTTTCAATCTAGGCTTGACATCGCAAAGGGTTTTGTTCATCGCGTCAAAACACTGTCGACAGTTCAGCCAGTTGCTTCGAAACTCATGGCCGCAAACTCAGGCGCCTTCTGCTCTCACTGCGGCCACGAGTTTCAGAAGAACTGCGCCGCTTGGAAAAAATGGACGTGATAGAGCGAATAGAGGCATCCGAGTGGGTGTCCCCCATTGTTGTGGTTGAAAAGAAACATGGAGGTATCCGCCTTTGTGTAGATCTTGTGGGAATCGAGAGCACCCTCCTACCTGGCGCCTCGTTCCCCAGCTGCCGCGAGCACGCCGACAGCGCAGCCCGGGCGCGCATTAGCACCGGCATCCGCCAAGATGGCTGCCAGGGCGCCTCTTGGTCTGGGCCAGTCAACTGTCGGATCCTTCCCAGCGCTAGCATGTCCGGGCACACTACGCTGGCGCGCTGTGTGGGCTACGTCACAACGCAGCGCCATTTACCTTTGGGCGCGCGTGACATCCTCCTCTCCTACGAGCCGTGTTGCGCCCGACGATTCGCTCGTCGCGGCAGATGCTCTCAGGCCTCCTCAAGAGGTTGACGTGCTGCTTAGCAGGCGGCTTCTCGTTCGTGCGTTCGACTTCGGCCCTTGTGTGGGAGTCGTCGGGCCCTAGGCAAGCGTATTTGCTCGGTCTTGCGGAGTACCCTATACGGCCTGCAAGCCCGTGAGTGTCGCACTGTGCTGCATCTTGGGTTAATAAACCCGTTCTTGTTGTTATCCTGCCTCGTGCGTGGTTTCTGCGCCGTGCCGGAGAAATCGACGAACCCGGCCGCAGCGTCTTCGCACGCAGCGGCAGTGGAGGACGTCGCATCCCTACACGATTGCGCTTAGTAGGTAAGCCTAGTGCAAACCTATCTCCACATAACTGGCACCCAACATGGTTTCGGCATGGCTTCAGAGCAGACCCCTTCAAGGCGCTCGTTCCTGTTCGATCCTGTGGCGACGGACTTGATCTCGTTCGAGGCGGACGGCTGCAACAGCACGGGGTACGGCCCTCTCGGCGACCCTCTGCTTTCGTTCACTGGGAGAGATCCCTTTTTCGTGGCCCCCTACAGTGATGAGAGTCGCTTGAACGAGGACCACAGTCCTAGCCAAGCCAGTAACGGGCTGCATCAGCTGTTCTAGACTCACGCGCTTACGGGCCGGTCCGCGGCGCAGTCTCCGCTCGCTGGCCTTTCCCCGTCAGCCACACGGTTGACAGCTCAAATCGCCGCACCCAGTCCTTCCTACAGGGGGCACTCAGGTGTTGGCAGGAACGCGCTTACTGACCCGCCGTGGTCGCGAGCGCAAAGGGTTGACGATGTCGTTCGTGAGCCTGCTCGCTTAACCGACAACGTTGCCGCGTTCACCGACGCTCGCTGGCCCGAGACTCGCATGGGCGACGCTTTCGACGGACGTGGGCCACCGTGCTCCGCTGTTGACCCGTTTGCCAGTCGCGTGAGGTCTCAAGCAGCAGTCGGAGCGCAAACCCTACCCTCCTCCATGTCGTGTACTGGCCCTTTTCGGTCGGACGCGCATGTTGGGGAACAAGCGCATGCACCTGTTATGGCCGCGCCCGCGTCGGAGCAGTCACCGCTGCACGCAACTGCAGCGCAGCTCCTAAACGTTCTGTTGGCAGCGGTGAGCTCGTAGCCTTGTGCTTTAAAGGGAGACCCCGAGTTCCCTCAGCCAAGCGTTCCGAGTAGCTTAAGGGTACCTCTGCCTGAGTACAGCAGTTATTCGGACCGCATCAGTGCCACAGAGTACCTTGATGCGCTGCACCGCTATCAGCAGGCTACGCGGCTGAGCGACAGCGTTATGCCATGCTCCGTTTTGCCCGTGGCGCTGACAGCCCAAGCGGCGAGGTGGTACCGGCTCTTCCATAGTGAATTCCTTCCTCCTAATAGGAAGAGTTTAGGGCGCTCTTCCGTAGCGAATTCCTTCCTCCTGAATACAAGCGCCGCATGTGTTGCGAGTTATAGCTTCGCACACAGCATCCCGACGAATCTCTTCTCGAGTACGTTCGGGCTTTGCAGGAGCTCTACCTCCTTGCCGATCCTACGGCATCGGACGCCG